ATACATACATACATACCTACGTACCTGCGTACCTACGTACCTACATACCTACGTACGTACGTACTTACTTACTTACACACACACACACACACACATGTAAACACATCCATCCATCCATCCATCCATCCATCCATCCATCCATCCATCCATCCATCCATCCATCCATCCATCCATCCATCCATCCATCCATCCATCCATCCATCCATCCATCTCTCCCTCCGTCCGTCGGTGCGTCTAGCTTTCCTTCCATCCATCCAGCCATCCAGCTTTTCATCCACTCACTTTCCCATTTACCAACGCAAAGTGGATATGACCTTGGTCGGGACTGCAACCTCGTCCTTACTCGTCCTCCCAGCAGTGTGAAAGGCAGGATTGATGCTGTCTCGGCAATCGGCTGCAGCACTCGTCACTGAAGCCATCTGAAGATAAGAAGTAAGAAGTATCAACAGGCGAAACTTGCAGTCATACGGGTTGCAGACACGTCCACTTCCAGCGGGCAGGCTCTGGGATGCTCCGGGTTGCAGGCCCTCTGCGAGGAGATATTCGGGGGTGTCTTGAAAAGCTGCGGCGTGCCCCGGCGCCCAGAAAATCGGGATCCTACTGCTTTTGATCTAAAGGGACGGCACACCTAGTGTGATCCTAAGTTGAGTTTATCACGACCTACGCCGTTAACGTTTGGGGCTTAGGACTTCTCATAGGGTCAAGCTTGAAAACCCTGAATCCTAACTTCTAAACTCTAAACCCTCCACCTCAGTCTGCAACTCTGCCATGAGCCACCACCACCGGTGGGTGGTGCTCGTAGCGACCGCAGGGAAAAGCGGCTCAAAGTGAGCGACGAGGGCCCGTCGGGGCTGACCATCCGACGGCCTGCAAACGCCTCATGGAAAACGCTCACGGAGCCAATCTTCAAAAGGCAGTGCCACAGTGGCCTGGACCGCAGGGAACATCGAGGAATAAGCTCGGCACAGCTCCCTTACTGGTCTGGGCCTCCTATGGGGTGCCCTGGAGAATAAAGATCTTGCCCTCTGGGAGTTAAAAGCAGTCCTTCGGTTTGGCAGAGACTCCAACAGTACAGATTGCTACGCATACAAATTTGGGATTTGTTTTGAGCACCTGTTCTCCAATCCGCAGCAACTGCGTCTCAGAGATCCCCATAGGGAAGGTGGGTCAGAAATTTAGGGTTTAGGGTTTGGATCTCCCCACGACCCTCACGCCTCTACCTTGGCCTGCCCCCGAAAGGGCCCCCAAGGGTCCTTACGATGCCGCGGGGGACACCCTAAAGGATCCTGCTGGTAGCGCTGAAGGTCGACATTGGAGTTCCGGACACATCACAATGGCAAGAAACCTGCCTCGAATGACATGCAATGACACAAAGTTCAGTACTAAAACCACCCAAGTCCCGCTTACTCTACAGTGACAACTCTGTCCCAGTTCTGGCGGAATGCTAAGCCCTAAATAAGAAGTGAGTACCGTTCCAGCATGCGGGTCGAACGATCGCGCCACTCAATCATCACTTAACCAGAACCCTGCACCCTGCCCAAACCCTAGACCGTAAAGTATGCTCTGAACCCTAAACCCTGAACCCTGAACCCTTTAACCCTAAACCCTAAACCCTGAACCCTGAACCCTGAACCCTAAACCCTAAACCCTGAACCCTGAACCCTAAACCCTGAACCCGGAACCCTGAACCCTAAACCCTGAACCCCTACCCGCAAACCCTCCGAGCGACCTGTGGCACTCAATGACTGCCGCGAAGGCGGCGGGACCTGAAATTGCAGAGAAGCTTTCAGGTGCGGGGTCTAGGGTAAGGGTTTTAGGGTTTAAGGGTTTTAGGGTTTAGGGTTTAGGGTTTAGGGTTTAGGGTTTAGGGTTTAGGGTCTAGGGTGTGGGGTTTTGGGTTTGGGGTTTTGGGTTTAGGCTTTGGGGTCTGGGGTTCAGCGTTCCGGGTTTGGGGTTCAGGGTTTGGGGTTTAGAGTTTAGGTGCTACCTGGATTACATGCCGCTGATGATTCTGGCGGTGGTGATGGTTATGGTGATGATTTTTGATGATTTGTGATGATTGATATTGCTCGGATTTCGTACATGTATTCTTCCACAGAGTGATTTCTTAAACCCTAAACCCTAAACCCTAAACCCTAAACCCTAAACCCAACATCCCAAGACTCCAAAACCGTACGTCTGGGGCTTACGGCTGTAGGAGTGCAGGCCCAGGTTGCGGGTTCGGGGGTTTAGGGTTTAGGGTTTAGGGTTTAGGGTTTAGGGTTTAGGGTTTAGGGGTTCGGTGTAAAATCCCGCATCCTAAACTCAAACAGCCAAACCCTGCAAGCTTCGATCGCAAAACCTGCCATCTTAAGAATTCTAAACCCTAATGTAGGGGCCTTAATAATTAGGAACCCACAAAACCCCGATCTATTTATCCAGGCCCCGACATTAACTCCTAAACCCTAAACCCCTAAACCGCAGGGCTGTTCAGGGCCGCCGTTTAAGGGCTCAGGTGTCTTCAGCCACAACCTGTTCGGAGGGTTTAGGGCTTATTGGGGCCAGGGTGCAGGGTTTCGGGCATGGGGCCCTTGATAGTTTAGGCCACTGCTCCGGAACGTCAGCAAAGAAGCCCGCATGTCGCCTCAAAATCCTACTAATCTATCCATGGGCTCTGGACAATAGAAATCATTCTTGCGTAACGTAGGGGCCTTAATAATTAGAAAAGGGTTTTGGGGCCCCTTATACTATAAAAATATCAAGGAACCCTCAAAATAGCCCCCTCAAACCGGGAAGGCCCCAACTGCTGGGAAGCTAACAGAGGTCCGGACTCTCAAGTTAGGGTTGAGGGGTTAGGGTTTAGGGTTTAGGGGTGGTCGGCTTGCAAGAGCCAAGAAAACCAAACAAAAGGCCCCTAAACGATACACTCTAAACCCTAAACCCTAA